TAGCTAAATCAGCACGCAACAATTTCATTGGTCCCAGTGGGGAACGAACCCGGGTTGCTCCCGTACTGTGATACTTATAACGAGCGCTAACCATGTGAGCAACCACGGCTCTCAACGACATCGTTCCGTTCGTGTACAGCGCTGAAGATAGCAGAGTAAAAAATTAGAGATTGTGGTGTTTGAAATTTGTCATCTATAAGAGTGAATTTTATCTGTGTACTCTGTAACAAATAACTATATAGAAAAAAAATGTGAATATGACATTTTTTGTTTGTGTACTGGTTAGGAACTCGATCAAAAATTTGATAACTTTTCCGTTTTTATACGTTATTTCTAATGTTATTTTACATCAAATTAATTGTGAAGATATTTTCTTTTGGAAATATGTATCATTACGACGATTCAAAAACGTTTACATATAATAATTTACCTCGAAATTCACTATACGCGATTATCGTTTATTGATTATATGTTGTTTAAAAAGTATTCTTATCAGTTTTTTGTGTTAAATGGATGCTAAATATAAAAGAATGCTTCAGTATTGATAGCAATTTATTAACGAAATATCTGTTGAGATGTGTCTAGAAATTATTAATACTTATTTTTATTTATTTATTAAAATAATAAATAAATAAAAACAAGTATACATTTATCTATATTGAGTACTAGTTGCTCCCCGCGATCTCGCCCGCGTGGAATATGGATTTCATGGGTTTTAATTTTTTTGCGCGGAACCCTAATTCTTTTTCTAAAACAAAAGTAGTTCAAGTTATTCCTTATATCATCAGCTATCTGCCAGTGAAAGTCCCGTCAAAATAGATGCAGCTGTTTCGGAGATTAGCTGGAACAAACAGACAGACAGACAGATAAAAATTTTAAAAGTTGTGTTTTTGTTACTAGTACTTTCATATGCATTTAATAAAAAGCTGTTGTTTTAACATTACAAACAGACACTTCTATTTTATTTATTTGTAGATATAGATATAAGATATTATTCATATTGGTGTCATTTTAAAGATAATATCATGTACTATTATAATAATAAAATAATTGTCTCCAATAAATATTATACTTTTCTTGTAAAACTCGAAATAAAAAATAAATACGATTAATTTTTATATCCCCATAATATGCTTTATTTTCATCCTTTATTTTTTATTTGACCAATTTTCTTTTAACAAAATTAAATTCTGAATATGTTGAGCTTTTTGAGAATTATTTTATTTGAATGTTAGATAGGTACCTATATTAGTTTTTCAGTAGTAGTCGTTTTTGTTGCGACAGTCTCGCGCGGTCGTAAAAAAAGTTACTGCGCACAGGTGGGACGAGAATCACTTGCGCGGCGTTGACGGTTCGGTGGATAGGTACCTACCTACTGTTATTACCTAAATACCCATAATCTACTATACAACAAAATTTGACAAATTGTTGCTGCGTCGTGGACACTAACCTGCCTACCTACCTACCTGCCTAAGTACGTCGGTACTAAGGAAACAGTCTTATTTATTTATTTATTTATTTAAATAGATACACCATCGACAATATCAGTAAACATTGTTACAATCAAGAATACTACATTTTTAGATAAAGGATTTGTCTTTACAGGTGTATACATCAATGTAAGAGAAAAAAACCTAAACAACATATAAACTCTAAATCAAAAAGGAATTAAACTAATCAATCAAAGTAAAAGCACTACATCCAGTAATAATTACAATAAATAATAATTTTGAGTCATTATTCTGGCAAGGCAGGTAACAATAAGTCTTTACATTTTCTTTTGAATTCACGTTCGGGGTCGCTAAAGATGTCGATGTCATGATTGTTTAAGGTGTTGTAAGTTCGCATACATCTGCTTAACGGAGAAAACTTGCCTAAATTGGTTCTACTGATGGGAATATTGAACAAATTAGTAATTGGGTGTCTAGGAATATGATAAGGGATTTTAAAGCACACTTGCTGCAGTAAACTTGGCGAAATTAACTTACCGTGTAGAAGTTTATGTAGCGTCATTAAGTCTAAAAGTTTTCGTCGGTCAGCCAGTGAACTCATTCCAAGATAAGAAAGTCTAGATTTATAATCTTTATAGTATGGACAGTTTTGAACTTTATGTGCAATGAATCGAGTGAAGTTTTGTTGAATACGCTCGATTCTGTGAATGTGAATTTTATAAGAAGGATTCCATATCACCGAGGCATATTCTAAACTGCTAAGAATCAATGCATTATATATAGTTATCAGAGTCTGAGCATTTTTGAAATCCTTACATGTACGTTTGACAAAACCTAACATTTTCCATGAGCGCGTTACCACATTATCTATATGATCTATAAAGCTAAGTTTGTTATCAAGAATGACCCCAAGATCACGGGTGGATGAAGATTCACTCAGTACCTCTTTATTAATGAAGTAACAAGATTCAACAGTAGATTTATTCTTTGTGAATTTAATGTAGGTACACTTACGAGGATTAAGTTTCATTTTATTACTTTTGCACCATTCATGGATAGCATCAAGGTCATTTTGTAAAGATAGAACATCATCCTGGTTTTTAATAGCTTTGAACAATTTTAAATCGTCGGCGAAAATGGAACAGTGGCTGACTGGCTTAATGTTATGTGTTATATCATTAATAAACGCCAAAAAAAAGAATAGGACCAATATGTGAACCTTGTGGTACGCCTGATAGAGCCACATAATCATTAGACTTATATCCATGCAATACGACACTTTGTAATCTATTTTTGAGATAAGAACTTAGCCAACGAAGTAAATTCCCATGCACGCCGTACGAATTTAATTTAGATATAAGTAAATGATGGTCCACGACATCAAATGCACTAGAAAAATCCGTGTATATGGAATCCACCTGCATTTGACCATCCATTGTACTTGCAACTTTCATGACGTAATCCATCAAATTGCTAACAGTAGATTTATCTTTGGAAAACCCGTGTTGTGCCTCTACGATAATATTTTTTAGATGATTTGTTAAACTTGGATAAACTAAGCGTTCAAATATCTTTGGAAATAAGCTTATAATTGAAACCGGTCTATAATTTTTAACATTATTTTTATCTCCTTTCTTGTAAATAGGTATAACATTGGAACGTTTCCAGTCAGTTGGAAAGGACCTGGTTAATAACGATTTACTAAAAATTTGTTTTAGAGGAAGAGTTAGATATTTTGATGTCATTTTTATAAACAGAGGAGGAATGCCGTCAGGACCCGCTCCTTTGTAGATATCTAGCGACTTCAGTATACTCAGGATTTTACGTTCTGTTATTTCTATATCATGCAAAGAACTTTGTGGATACACATCGACCAATACAGGAGCTGCAGTGCACTTGGGTTGGGAGAACACAGATGAAAAATGTTGAGCAAAAAGATTACATATCCCCTCACCACTATTAGCCGAGAGATTGTCTAGGTACATTTCTTCTGGAAAACCATAATCGCAGGATTTCCGATGACGGACGAACGACCAAAACTTTTTAGGATTAGACTGAATGGATTTTTCGGTTTCCCGTATATAATCTAAATAATTCTTAGAGGCCAACGACTTAACCCGGTAATTTAAGAGCTTGAGTTCTAATGTATCTCTTGGATTTTTGTAAATTTTGTGCCTTAATCGGATCTTTTCTTTTTCTTTTATTAGTTTAATTAAGTTCGGCGTAAACCAAATAGGAAACTTTAAATTACGCGGCTTCGTTTTTGGTACAGTTTCATCAATAATGGAATAGAGTATTTTGTAAAACCTAGACACCATGACATCGACCTCCTGACAATTACTAAATTCAAAACCCCAATCAACTCTACTTAACCTAGAATTTACTTTGGTATAATCAGCCTTTTTAAAATTGTGAGTAGCAAAAGATTTATTATTCAACAAATGCGGTAGTGACATATTTACATTTATCTCTAAAGCAGGATGATGACGATCAGTTTTACTTATTGGACATGGACATTCAGCAACATTTATATTCTTAAGATTACTTAAAACAAGGTCAAGGGTTCTGTTATTAGCGTTTTTCACAGCATTAAATTGTGATAAATTATTTAAAGACAAGAAGTCAATAAACTGAAATCCTAAATTACAGCAATAATTGTTAGGGGTTAATTCGTTTACGGATTTGGTAACATCGGTAATCCAATCTATAAAATTCAAATTAAAATCGCCCAATATTATTGTGTCGTTACTACATGATTGCATTACAATATTGCAGTTGTCAAGAAATCCATCTAATAAACTATTAGTTACTGGAGGGGGCAAGTATACTACACAAAACAAGCAGTCCACGAGTTTACCATTAATATTCACTCTCACCGAAACCCACAAGTCTTCATAACAGCTCTCAAAGTGGTTAACTCTTTTAGAGTACAGTTTCTTCGATACTGCTACCAGGACACCTCCGCCTCGCTTGCCAGTGAGATGGGTAGAATTACGATCACGTCTATAAACATTGAAGTTTGCGCCGAACAGTTCCCCGTCCGATACTGTGTCGTCAAGCCATGTTTCTGTTCCCACTATTATATCATAATGGGTAACCAGTGAAGATAGTTTAATGTTGTCCGTCTTAGTTTTCAGACCTCCGAAATTTTGATAATATATGTTGAATTTTATTTTGACAGTTACGGTCTTAGTAATATGGCGTATCAAATTATGTAATTACAAGTTTTTCAAAGAGTCGTGGCATTTAATTTGTTTTGCAGGGGTATGATCTTCTTTTCGCACAAAAATACGACCATTACGGATCCAAACATATTTATAACCCTTTTCACGTGCAATGTTTCTGGTGCTAGCATGTAGTTTTTTGTTCTGAGGGGATAAATGTTCAGAAACATATACGGGTGATTTATTCCCACCATATCCCAAATGAGAAGAATTAAGTTTATCTGTCGTGTTTTTCTTATTAAAACTGGAAACCGCAGCCAATATTGCGTCACGTTTTATTGTGGACTGCAATTTAATTATGATGGAACGGGGACGATCATTCTTATCATTCATTTTTTCTTACTCTAGTGCCCGATAGTACTTCAGAGTCCATCAAAGGGACGGAAATAGTAGAGCAAAGTTGTTTCGCTAAGGACAGCAAATTTTCGGACTTATTTTCCGGAACGCCGTTGATCTCAATGTTCGTTTCCCGAGAGTGCTGTTCCATTAGGTTAAGTCTATCTGAGATATCTAATACTTGACTGGATAGCGTTAAATTCTCTTTAGTAACCACGGTAAGTCGATCCTGTAAATTTTTTATGTCAGAATTCATCCGGTCATATTGAGAGCTAAGAAATTCCACACTTTTGCCGATTTCTCGTAAGGTAGCCAATTCGCATTTAATTTCATCGAACTCCTTAGAAAAATACATCTTGACGGCTGATTCAACAGCCTCCGTCACAGACTGCTGTATTTCTCGACGTATAATATTGACTAAAACCTTATCGTCCATGATAGAAGAAGAACCAGGAGATAATGGTTGTTTCTCTGGGATTAGCGGTTTGCGTTGAGTTAAAGCACATTCTTCAGAGTCTTCGGTTATCTGATCAGATGCAGATGAAAGCGAATCCATACGACAGCCTTGTACAGGGGTGTTAGTATTATCGAACTTCCTTTGTTTACTTTTGCATGTTGGGCATTTCCAATTGTCTTTCTTTTCCTTATCCATAAGGCAAAATAACTTGTACGAGTAATTTACGCATTCAATATCATAGGTATCATTGCATAAGCAGCAAGACAAAAATTCGCGGTTTGTGATTTTTTTCGAACAGCCCGCACAGTATTTCGCTTTTGGAGGCATTTTATTTAAACTGAATGCAAGACAAGCCAAGCAAAAGTCACCCAAAAGCCGAGAAGTTAAACTCCAGTATGCAATATTTTTTTTATTGCAAGCCGTTAGTCAATCCCGCTCACAGGCCGCATCTAAGGTAAGATGTTGTGACAAAAAGGTCGTTAGCGCCGTGCAATTAGCGTCGCTTACGCGTTTTTGTCGACACCTTGAACGTAATTTAAATTTGAATGATCGTTTATGAACTGAACTGTTATTGTTAGAATTTGAAGTAATTTCCACTAATTATATCGACAGGTACACTATACACAGCCACAAATAAACACTTAACTTCAAAGCTATGAAGTTATTGGAACTTTTAGTGTATTTAAACTAAGAATTTGAATATTTTTTCGAGAACACAAGCGTTGAGATGTTGTTCATTTGACGTCACGGACTTCTGTTGTTCTGTCTTCTTCTGACGGGTCACTTGTCTTGATAAAGACATGTGTTTACATCTAGTGATATTGTGTGTATATAAAAAAAAGTAAGAAGACAGGTAAGTATTTTTGAAAACAATTTATAGGTAGGCAGAACTAATTACAATTATTATCTAAATATTATAAATGCGAAAGTTTGGATGGATAGATGTATGTTACTCAATCACGCCAGAACAGCTGAAGGGATCTGGATGATATTTAGCTCAGAGATAGGTTATACCTAGTCTGGAATAACACATTTGATACCGTTTATTCAGGTATTTCGTTCCTGTGGGATAATTTTCGAGTTCACGCGTTTGAAGCCGCTGGCAACAGCTAGTACGGATATAAACTGCGATGACTGTTCCAGTTCATACTTCGGCGTCGTGAACTCTTGAGTGATCGCTGCATGACCACCCGGGGAAAACTAAACATAATAAAATAAGCAATCTGTATTAGGTATCTATAGAGCCATAGAGGTATAGTATAAAGCGATAACGCAGCGCCTAATAATTTAGTACGAGTGGCACGATGCCAGGTGAGACAACGTGCTTTTTGGCCGCGCCCACCAATGAGTTCGAGCCCGCGACTTGTGCCACCTACGCAATTCCTTTGTATAGTGCGACGTTGCCACTCTTATTAGTTATTCCGCTTTGTAATATTTTATTTATAGGTGATATTTTGTTTATGTAGGTATTCGATAGATTCCTATAGTCTGTTTTTTTCGCAGGAGACAAAAATAACAGATATTTATTAGATTCGTTTAGCACGAATAATACAGTTTTTATGATTCTGGTTCAGATTAGATTTAATTTTAGTCACTTAAATTTCGTATATTGTTCAAAATAATGAAATAAATCCACAGAATCTGCAGTTACGAAAAAAAGCAATATCATTTTAGTCTCCGGCGAAAAAAAAAAGATATATATCATGATTAATTTACCAACTAGTTATTCGTTTACTAAATACGAAAAAATATTTAGACGTCATTTTTCTTCCAATCTTGCTGTACTGAATATTTACTTAGTCCTTATATTAATAATTATAATTGCATAAGTTGATACAAAATGCTATGCAATAGCTTTACCGCGGCAGTCCCCGAGTGCCACACGTCTTTTTTTATTGTAATTAAAATTATGAATTAATTTATACTGTAGTGTAATTATAAAAATAATAATAGCTTAACTAATCTCATATAATATTTAATATTATTTATGTAAAAATAATGTAATAATTAAATTAATAATTTATGAACAATTTACTGTATACGAATTCAAATAGAGTGGATCTGTATACGTATTTAATTTTACATAATATTTGAATTCAAAAAGAATGTTTGTAACTAACTTTTAAGCAATGCAATAATTTTAAAATGTAACATTGGGTTTGTGTAATTAGCTGCATTTCATATCATTTTTGCATGCCAATTATGGCAAAACATGTCAGTTCCACGTCATTGATGATCTTATCTACCATGTTTTTAAGCAAATAATTTCTATCTATCAAATAAAATCTATCTATCTATCTATCTTCTTTTGAACTCGGTATCTTTTAAATTATTAATATACTTTTGTATTGCAAGAAGACACAGCGCGTACGCTGTAATTATTTCGATTTCGACGTCTGCCATAGTCGAAAGCCGAAAGCGATGTGAGTGGTAGGGCAGAGTGTGAATATACACTTCCCGCGATCCTGCTACGGCAGTATTCAGCGAAGTATTGCCGGCAGCGCGAGAAGCAGGGGCTGAATGTAAATGAGGCATTAAATTGTTATTTCTTATTTCCTTCTGTTATTTTGACCTCGGTATTTTTTTACGGACTGATTTTTTCACATCTTGGATAATTGTGAGAAACATCATGCAAACACAACAAAGACAACTAGGTGTGCGATTGCTTTGTGTTAATTGTAACATACGCATTGATAAACTTCGCCGTCATCTCGTTTTTGAGCTTGACACAAGAGTAATTTCTAAGATCTGCGAGTGGAATTCTTCAATAATAGTACGTATATACATACCTACTTATTTTATTACACTAACATAATACATCATCATAATACAACTCTAATTCTTATTTTAGATCACTGAAGAAGATTAAGTATGTGATGCCTGTCAGCAATTGGCAATACAGCATGTCAACTCCAGGTTACCTAATGAACCTGGTGCCTCATCTTCCCGTGGCCACAAGCATGTTTGCATACTTTGTGGAAGTTCTCTGAGGACTCGTAAACTTGATGTTGTTGTGAGAGAGAATCCATCTCAGTTGCAACAAGCAATACATATTGAGCTTGAAAATAGAATTGCCCAACGGCAGGTAATAATTACCTTTTTTATTTTGTACTTTTTTTTGTTTGTCTTGATATCAATGTTATAGTGAATTTATCACTGTAATTAAATATTGTTTTGTAAAAGTGTTTCTATTTGCTCGGGTTTAATAATAATTATCCAAAACATTTATATTAAGACAAAGCTGTATGGTTGTTTCAGGCAACTTCAACAGACCATGTTTGTCATCCCTGTTGGCTGAGACTCAAGAGAGTTGCAACACGCAATTTGCAGCAGACAAAGCCAGATCTGGAGCAGGAGCCAGAGCCTCAACCCCAAGAACTTCAAAGCCCACCAAATACCGACCAGCAAGATGACGAAATATCTCGGGTGATTAGTTTGCCGCAGTATAGACGAGCGGCAAACACTGCAGCACATTGTGTTTTTTCTGGTTGCCAGAATACAGATTTGCATAAAATTTCTAACCCTCTAAGAGCAACAACTCTTAGCAAACACAAATATTATTTGCCTATAAATGCTCGTATTTGTGTAGAGCATACACTTAGTACTGATTGGGATATGTTGTTCAATTCTCAAAATAGTTTGAGAACATTTACGGCTGAACAAGTGGAACATGCTCTTTCCTTTATAAATGCTTTCAACACATTTCTTGATTTCTCGAATATGGAAAGTGTTGAAAGAATTGATGATTATTTGTTTCATTATTGGCTCGGAATGAATAAACAACAATTTGAACTTTTACTATATGAAACACCCCGTCTTGTAGAAACAAATAGAGGCATTTTAGGTTTAGGTGCTCTTCTAATGTAGATGAGAACTGGTGAATCAAATGACCGGTTATCAACATAGTATATAACATTAGAAAGATTATTGGATAAGGTTAGGGAAATATTGGTACAAGATTTTGTGCCTAGAAATCTGGGAATTGAACACATATCACGTGAGCAATTATTGCAACACAATTTAATGATTCCAAATGCAATTTATAATCAAAATAATGAAAATGCGATAGTTATATGTGATGGGACATATATTTTTATAAACAAAAGTTCCAATTATATGTTCCAAAAGGACACATATTCCTACTAAATACAAAAACTTGTTAAAACCATTTTTGCTGGTGACACCTGATGGCTACATTTTAGACTGCTTTTGTCCATACAAAGCTACCACAACTGATGCAGATATAATGAAGTCTCGTTTCAGAGATGAAAACTCTTCTCTCAGACAATACTTTCAAAATAACGATGTTTTTATTCTAGACAGGGGATTTAGAGATTCAATTAGTTTGTTAGAGGCTTGCAGCTACAGAACATATATGCCAGAATCCTTGCTTGAGGGTGAACATCAGCTCACCACTGAACAAGCTAACAGGAGTCGTTGTGTGACCATATGCCAATTGGTGGTGGAAGTTGTTAACGGGTACTTCAAACGAGACTTTAAAATATTTCGGCAAGATTTTTTTTAATAAAACTGTTCCACATATGATGCAAATGTTTTCCATAACTGCAAGCATTTTAAATAAATTCGGTGTTCGATTAAAAAACAGGAATGATGCTGAGCCAATCATAAATATGATTAGAGAACGATTTCCATTAAATAATTATTTATCTGATTTTATAAATAGTATGAACATGAATAGACGAACATCTGATTTTACTAGTATTACAGCTCATTCCAACACTAATATTATATTCCCCCATCTAGAATATAGTGAAGTTATATTATTTGCCCTAGGAACATATCAAATTCAACAGGCAAAGTCCTATTATAGTGAACATTTCAGGTTTCACGGAGGGTATAGAATTGAAATAAGCAGAGAAAACATTAATGTAACAGAGTATTGTTTGAGAGGAAGTGGAAATAATTCACTTATAAGAGGCAAAATCAAATCCAGACACATTTCGAGAAAAGTATATTATGTTTATATATTAATTAAAAATAATTTGTCTGGAAGGGAAGCTATAATAGAGTATTGCTGCAATTGTTCAGTTGGTAGAAGAACAGTTGGGTACCGTGCACATGTTATGACGCTTGTGTGGTATCTCGGGTGGGCCAGGCATCAGCCGATAATACCAGCACCTGCAGCATTCCTTGATGCTGTAGTTGTAAGAGAGGATGATTAATAAAAAGTAATTTTCTCTTTCTTTATAGAAATAAGGTGACAAACGAGCACACAGACCACCTGATTGTAAATGGATGCTGTGGCCCATAGACATCTACATTTATCTTCAATTGAAAATCAAAATGTTGATGTGTTACCAGCCCTG